GTCGTTTGTGCTTTAAGGAAAATTCTTTGTTCATTGAGTTTGCACAGCCTGGTCGTCGTTAATGCTTCGATCTGATTGTCGTCACTACATTTAGATTCCTGGCACTCTAGCTCTTTGGTGTGGGTCTTCCGTGCTTAGATGTTCTCCTCTCTAATGGCCTTCTCGCCCAAGATGACGACGATGACCCCAATGGGTGGAGTTCGGGCTAGGGGCTCGTTGGTGAGGTGTGGCTCTTCTCTGGGTTTAAGCTCTTTGATGTTGATGAATTGATGAAGCCACGTAGGTATTCCCGTCGAATATGGTATTCCAGGTGGTGGCGGAGGTCATGGTAGTTTTTGGTCTCGTGGCCATGGTAGTGGTGGAAACCACAATACTTGTCTCGATTTTTTCTTGTTGCCATGGGTTTTCATCTTCTCGGGCCACTTGACGAAGCTACAGTCATGGATTTGCATCAGTATCTTGGCCTACGGAGCATTGAGTGGAGTGAAGTTATGATACGTCAGTGATGGGGTTCTTGGTTTGTGGCCAGGTCGATGATCGTGCCTATTGGCATATTGGTCCGGTCTTTGGCCGTCGTGGTCTCTATTCTTCCGATTGTGCTGGTCTTCCTCCTCCTTGCGCAATGCTTGGGCCTCTTCGGCGTTCATATAATTCTACTTGTGCTTCATAAGCGTGGTCAGGTTGGGTGGAGGGTTCTTTTGCAAAAAGAAGTTGAACATTGAGGAGTGCATCCTAGTCATGATGGTGGTCATGGCCACCAACTAGTCTAGAGCTTGAACTTGGAGGGCCTCAGCGTTGAACCTTGCTATGTATCCCCTTAGGGTTTCTCTTTCCTCTGATGCACTTGCATGAGGCTGACTGAGGTCTTCTAATGCCTTTGGCTGGTGGTGAACTACGCCATAAACTATGTCTCCAACTTCTCCCAGGAGGAATTGGACCATCATGGAAAGGAGGCATACCAGGTCCTGGTGACTCCGTGGAGAGTTGCGATGAAGGCCTTGCATACGAGACCCTCGGAGGAGCCATGCAGCAACAGTTTCACCTTGAACCCCTCAATGTAATCGTTGGTGTCCAAGGCTCCATCGTACTTCTCAAATTGAGGGGGTCGCCAGCCGGCTGAGGGAAGTTCATTAACGATCTCATGGACAAAGATGGGTTCCTTTGTGGGCTAGTTGTGGTGCTGCTCTGAGGCTAAATTGTCAGAGGAGTTGTGCTTCTATTTGCTTGGCTGCGCTCCAGTTTGGCCAATCGCTCTCTTAGTTCTCTGATTTTGGCATCTTTGTTGGTTGGGACCACGTTTGTGGACTTCCCCTTTTGGGATCATGGGTTGTTCTACCGAGCTTGATTCGATTATCAAAATTAGCGACTGCTGCAGATGTTGGCCAAGTCGTTCTTTCGCCAGTACCCGAGCGAAGGAGTGATGGGATCTATTGCAGGTTTCGTGTGCATGAAGTCGGGCTAGGGAGTCAAATCTTCTATATGGTTGTGATAGTCCGCAGTCGGATTGGGCCATATGCATGTCTGCATGGAGCCTTTTGGGGTCCTTAGTGTGAGGATTGGCTATAGAAGGTGCATGCACAGCAGGGCAAATAGCTTGGGGGGCGTGCATCGGTTGCCCCAGTGTCTGTATCATGCCTATGATACAATCGACCTTATGCTACATGGCTTGGAACTGCATGGGTTGACTATTGCCTGATGTTGGGGCTCTCGAGGCAGGGAGCTACGGAGTTAGCAAGATCCCTAAGATGGGGAACGGGCTCCCAGAGTGGTCGGATGTGTTCATTGGCATGATTGCTTTTAGTGCACAGAGAGAGGTTTGGGAAATGACTATTTCCCACAGATGGCACCAATATAATGTTGTCTAATTTGAGGTGTTCCAAACTGAGGACACGATCAGATAGTCCTACCAACTGGGTGAGGCTAAGGTGGAAGGATGAAGTTGCGCACTGAGATCTGCAACCGGTAGAAGGGCCAGAGGCCTGAGGAGGTGCTCTTCGAGTGGGTACTCTATCGCCCAAGTTAGTAGGATAGAGAAGGATTTGGCCGAGACTAGCAAGTTGAAATAGCGTTGGTCAGAGCTGAAGAGATACTGTCAAGAAGTATTTAAAGAGTGCAGTTCCAAAAGTCCCTTACCTCGGGTGGGAATACCTATTTATAGTTGGGCGTTCACATCCGCTAAGGTTTTCGGGAGGTTTCCTATTCCCCGACAGAGTTCGTTTTCTTGTCCATGCGGGGCACTCCTTAGTCGTTCTCTTCCATTGTGCGTGTGTTAACGTGGCTTGAAAGGGGGGGGGGTGGCCTTGGTATAGCTACATGGCATCCTCAGCCAACTCAACCATCACCTGAAAAATGATAATGTATTGGGCCTAACATTTATGGTCAAGGTTCAAAATTTCGATACAATATCATATCATTAGCTTTTTGAAGCATCAACATACCCAATTTGCCTCTTCGTGCGTATCAAGCATATCAATACTCTAAACCATGCATATGATAAAGGTTATAGCCCAGGTTTGGGCCAGGGTGGGCATTAGGCCTATAGCATAAAATAATAAAAAAAACATTTTTTATAAACTTTTAATTTGAATGATGTATAATATAATAAATAAAAATGGTATGGGCCCAAACTAGGAGAAGTTTAGCTCCGGGCCTCTCACAAAAATGTAGGGTTCTTCTGATTCCTAGGCATGGTTGATTTATCCTTTTATAAAATAAATATAAATCCATGTTTAAGATGACATTTGTATAGATGAGTTGGCTCATAGTGGTTTGTGAGTGTAACATTTTGAGTTATGGGTTGATACATGTACATGTATATATATATAATAATAAAATACATGTATATACATATATATAATAATATATATATATATATATGTATATATATATACACAATTTATTACATATAATATATATAATATTTGATAGTATAATCTAGGGAGAATGACCGATAACCCTATGGTCATAATTTATAGGCCTAAAGTATATTTGGGATAGGTGCCAGCTCGGAATTGATGCCAATTCACGGGTGGGTATGGGTGCATAGAGTGTGATTTTTGGACCTTCTGAATGTTTGTAGCTTTGCAGTGGGAATAAAAAATCTGCATTAGGCCTGTCCATACTTTTCCATAATTAAATATATTATGTATATTACATACTCAGCCTGGCCTGGTCTCGGCTTGAAGTGTTGGGCCCAAGCTCGGCTTGATGCTGGATTGGAATTTGGAACTGCACATAAAATCCTTGGCTCGGACTTGGAAATTTGTGGGCTACCCCTAACCGAGCCAAAAAACGATCAACTATGCAGTGAATAATCCATAATTGATTTTTTTTTTCAAAAAAATGTGGTTTTAAGATGGGAAATTTGTCGATTTTTTTTTTTTTGCTCGACAAACCAAAAAACTTTCATTGCTTACTTAGAGAGGTTACAAAGCTCCTATAGGTAGGGATGTCAATCGACCAATTTTGGTTTGGATCCAATCCGATCCAAACCTTATCAAATTGGATTTGGACGGTCCATTATAATTATTGGATTAGTCCCATCCAAAATAAATTGTTCCATATTCTTATTGGTTTGAATTAGACCTAAACCAAATTTTCAATAATCCGATCATGAGGCCAAACCCTTGTCCAATTTGAAATCAATCAAAACTGAAAACAATATAAAATCACTTTTATGAAAATACTTTTACGAAAGCACTTTTACGAAAACATTTTTATAAAAGCACTATTGTAAAAGTACTTTTATGAAAGGTATTTTTACGAAAGCACTTTTATAAAAATACTTTTGCAAAAACATTTTTACAAAAGTATTTTTATAAAAGCACATTTACAAAATCACTTTAATAAAAGCACTTTTACAAAAGTACTTTTATGAAAGCACTTTTATAAAAGTATTTTTACACGAAGAACTTTTATGAAATCACTCTTTTATGAAAGCACTTTTATAGAAGTACTTTTATAAAAGCACTTTTATGGAAGCACTTTAAAAAATCACTTTTATGAAAGCACTTTTATGAAAGTAATTTGATAAAAGTACTTTTGTGAAAGTACTTTTTATAAAAGCACTTTTATCGAAGTACTTTTATAAAAACACCTCTATGAAAAAAGTACTTTTACAAAAGTAATTTTATAAAAGCACTTTTACAAAAGCACTTCTACAAGAGTACTTTTATAAGTCTAAGAAAGTACTTTTCGAAAAGTGCTTTTATAACAGTACTTTTACAAAATCACTTTTTTGAAGTACTTTCAATAAAGTGTTTTTGTAAAAGCACTTTTATAAAAATATTTTTATCAAAATACTTTTACAAAAGTGTTTTTTCAATGCTAAAAGTGCTTTTATATAATTTTTGATATTTCATTCGGTTTGGATTGGATCCAATCCAATAATCCAGTTACATTTGAATGGATTGGATTGGATTTGCACTGGATTGGGTCCAACCCATTTATAAGTGGACTCACATTGGACTGGATTGGGTTGACCAAATCCGTCCAATTTACACCTCTACCTCTAGGGAAGGATGAGTGCAAAATAATTTTCTCGTCCAATAAATTTTAGCTTACTGTGCTCACACAATCTAGCCCTAGAAGTTAACTCATGTGCCATATTATTCTTATCTTTAGGAAAGAAAGATACACTTAGCAAAAAAAGGATTTAAAAAAATAAAGGGTAAATTTCTTAAACTACCCTTATGGTTTAGCTAATTGATTAAGTGTGCCCTTACTGTTTGAGAATTGACTAACACTACCCCTATTGTTTATTACAATTGATTAACTATATCCTTACCATTAACATCCATTATTATTCCGTCTAAACCTATACACGTGGTATAGGTGTTTAAAATTCTTTTAAAATCCAATATTACCCCTCCCTCGTCCTAAATTCATTTTTTTAGAGAATAAAAAAAAGCACTGTTCGTTTCTTCCAACTCTTGACACAAAGGCGACGAACCGACATTACCCTATAAATAACAATGCCATTGCTAATCTGCCATGCCACCACTTTATAAATATGTATTGTATGTGTCTCTTTCATTTCCGGTTGCTGGTCTTTCTCTTGCATTTGTAATTTGTACCTACCCTCTCTGTCTACCTCCTTAGAGTGGGAGAAAGACTAAACCCAAGATTTCTTTTGTCCACCATGGACGTTCCGACTTGTTGAGATTCTCTTCATTTCTCAAGATTGCGGAATCAATGGCCGTCTCTTCGTACAAAATTATCGCCTTTTTTCTTGGTATTTTTGAAATTCGTCAAATGGCCGTTAATCTCCACTCCATAACAGAGGCAACCTTGGAGCCATTGGAGCTCTATTAAGCACAACCATTCTATATCCTCTCCATACCTGTAAAACCAAGTACGAGGCTGAAGTTCAAGCACATGGTTAGCAAAAGTACAGGTTGGTGTTGATTTTGTCTATGTTTTTCGTGATTTGGGTCTCGTGATTTTTAAGTGCTTATTCATTTTAAGGTTTTATGATTTTTAAGTGCTGGTTCATGGTGGAATTTCTTGGAATAGAATGTAGCTTCATCTTTGTCGCTGCTAAACCAGTCGACAACCAGTGCTTGGGAAGATGGAGAGAGGTCATATGAGGAATGAGGTGCCTGTATTTTGCCGTTGCGTCAAAGAGGAGAGGGTGTTGCTGCTGCTGATTAGAAACACTTCCATCTACCCTCTTCCGAACCCGTGTAACCCTGCGAGATGCGATGGAGAACGCTGTCGTCTAGATATACTCTCGTTGGAGAACGTTGCCGTCTAGATCTACTCTCTTCTTTATTTAATTCACTTATTGTTGCTTCTGGTTATTCCTACTGTTTTAGAAGAGGGAAGAAGGGGAGAGAGAGACAGAGAGATGGGAGAGCAGGACAAAGTTTGTCTTCTACCACTTCGGAGACGAGTTGTGTGTTTTGTCATCGGAACTGTTCGAAGACGAGCTCCACTATTTTGTCTTTGCATTCTCTGTTTTTTAATTAAATATCCTTCTTTCAAAACCGCTTATGGGTTTGTTTGGTTGCCCTAATTGCAGCAGCATGAGTAACTGAAGAATTTTGTATATATGAAAGGTGGTGGATTCAAATTGTCATATCTGAATTGTTGGGGCTGATGGAGATTGGTAGCAGATTGTCATATCTTTTATATTTTTAATCAGTCTTTTATTTTGAAAATTCGTAGTCTTTTTATCTTTTTGTTAACGAATGTTAACGGTAAAGAAAATATTAATCAAATGTCAGTAACAATGGGGATAGCCTTTGTAAATTTTCAAACAGTAAGAATACACTTGGTTAATTAATTAAATTATAAGGATAATTTAAAAAATTTACCCAAAAATAAACCTGTTCCCACATAGCGTGTTCCTCCCATTTCAGTTTACCCTGCTATGTGTGCATACTATTTAGAATGTTTTGTGCATCTCTACATTTCACTAGCTTACTCAACTCCAGTTGATGAGCTTTGTGCATAATCGCGCCATTCTACATGTACTACTTGCCGAGCTTTACGTTTGCATCCTACTGCTGCAACAAAGGAGTTGTGAGGAGATATAAATATAATAACATATATAGGCTACAAGATGATTTACAAATGATCCATCAGTGAATATAACATAAGAAACCAGGATCAACATTAATATGATTTTGGTGTTGCATCCTATTTGTGTTGTTTGGTTGTGGGTGAAGTGACAAGGTTGATGGATTCACCGTTGAATATTAGCTTGTTGCGCTTCTCCCAAATAAATTTTGCATAAACTACCCACTTCTTAATAGATCTGCCTTTTCTACCTTCGATCCTTCTAATGTTTGTCGACTTTGAGTTCAATTTTGTTCCCTCTTTGGTTCCTTCATCAGAGAAGCCAAAATAAAACTGTCGACTTCCTCATGCGTCCACACCATGAAAATAATAGAGAGAGCTACAAGGATAATATCTATACGGGGACATGGAGACAGTGATATCAATGGATCAGCTTCTGTGCACGCCCGATTCAATCCAAACCCGAACTTTCTGACCAGTTAGGAGTTAGGACAGGTTACCAAAGCCGAACCTGCTTGTCCTATTTTTCGATAGTCAATTAAGACAGACCCGAACCCGGTCCGATACGATCGCGACATCCCTCGCTCCTTGCACGCAGAAAGAATTCACATAGTAATGAAGTGGGGTCAACTTCCAAAAACAGTTCGAGGGTCCCACGGAACTGCTCCTTACACCTGACGCCTCACAAACGCCTTACATGTACATCTTACCATGCATTGGGAATATCTCCCGTAATTATTACTTATTATTACGGGAGATGTTCTCAATGCACGGTGGATGTTCCTGTGAGACGCCCTTCCAATTAAACACATGCATACCTACTTCCTCCCTTCCCCGATTTCTCTCGTCTCTTAACGTCTCCCAGGGGCCAAACGAACCTTTCTCCGCTTTCTTCGTTGCTCATTGACGGACTTCCCAACGAACCTCTCTCTCTCTCTCTCTCGTCTCTCCTTCGGTCCTTCCGACGTCCCTTCCCGAAGACAGTCTTCAGTTTTCTTACCGCCCAAATGGCTCTAACGTTCCATCCGCTTTCCTCGACCAAACCCAACAACCTCTTCCAAAAGCGCTTCCTTTCCTCCAAAATTCCATCTCTCTCCTCCCCTTCCACTTCCATTTCACCTCCCTCTTCTCGCAAGTCTCGGCCCCTATCCGTCCGAAGCTCTGTCGCCGTTGCTCCTTCTCCGGCGAAAGCCACCAAAGAATCCATCGTGAAATCAATCAAGGCGAGGCAAATTATAGATAGCCGTGGGAATCCGACGGTTGAGGTTGATCTAGTAACTGATGAGCTTTACCGATCTGCCGTCCCCAGTGGAGCCTCAACTGGGATCTACGAGGCATTGGAGCTCAGAGATGGGAACAAGAGCGTCTACGGTGGGAAAGGCGTTCTCAAGGCGGTTAAGAATATTAACGAGGTTTTGGCCCCCAAGCTGATTGGCGTCGATGTGAGGTCAGCCGGAAATCTCCGTAGAAGTTTGCCATGAACATTATTTATTATTTTTTCATAAAAAGCATTTACTTTTTTGATCCGTCAGATGAGTTTATACTCTTGTAGCTTGCTTCCTACTCTGATCTTTGTGATTTAACTCGAAACGTGACTTTTTGATTTATAATTTGTCGTTCACTTGCTGTTCGTGTTAGAGTAGTTACTTTTGACCAGCATGTAGTCATAGGAATTCAAAATTTCAGTTCAATCTATGCTGATTTATCCGTGACCCCGTGCCATCTCAGTTTTGTGTTTATAGATGGTAGTGCAATTTGTCGCTATGTGCTTATATCTGGCACAGTTAATTTGTTACCAACTCAAGTGTTGTCCAAACCACATAACAGTAGCTGGATTTAATTCCTAGATTTCAGACATTCTTAGAAAAAGCATCGTTGTATGCGGGATTGAATAAGATTGTGAAGCAAATCTTGACTAAGTTGTCCACCCACTACTCCCACTAAAGAACTTATGGTGACATTGCTTATATGGTCAGAACTAACATGATTTTGAATTGGGAAAGTTGCTGATCGTGTGTCTATGATACCAGAAGTGATTCATGGAATGAGTTAGTGAGTTTGTCTATTTGTAGGTATGGAGATATTTTGGAAGAAAATGAAGCTCCTAGACTGTAAAGAAAATAATCCAACTTAACCCAGTGAATCCAACTTTAGTGGTGTACCTGAGCACTGGATATCTTTTTCTAATACTCTATTTTCCTGATATTATAACCATATTGCACTGTCATTGCACTTTCAGGACTCGAATATATATATATATATATATATCATTTCTTTTATTTGTGGAGCTTTAGTTTTGATGTTTGTGAGTTTCTTTTTCTTTTTTCTTTTGTTTTGTTGATCAGGAATCAAGCTGATGTTGATGCCATCATGCTAGAGTTTGATGGAACACCTAATAAATCAAAATTGGGAGCTAATGCCATTCTAGGGGTATCATTGAGCATCTGCAGGGCTGGTGCAGGAGCAAAAGGAGTGCCTCTATACAAGCACATTCAGGAATTAGCTGGAACCAAGGAACTTGTTATGCCAGTTCCAGCTTTCAATGTAATTAATGGGGGCAGCCATGCTGGCAATAATCTGGCCATGCAAGAATTCATGATACTACCGGTAGGTGCTGCTTCATTTGCTGAGGCTTTGCGTATGGGCAGTGAAGGTTAGTACTTTCATGTCTTTGTTCAGTACCATTGGATTTTCTCTGCTTGCTCAGTGTTCCCTATTGAAAAGGGACAAATGTCCCATGTTTCCACCCCAATAAAGTGTCATGGGAATCTCTTAATTTGGGCAATCTGCTTCATGCCACCTCTTGGTCATAGCCCCAAAACTGCACCTCCTCACGAACATTACATCAGATCACTTGAATTTCTTAGAATGCTTAAGAAAATGCGGACTACTATTAACTGTCTCAAGTAACTTATCAGATGGTTGTGATCATTGGGCAACCTTAGGGCTATGACTAATATAGGTCATTGTAGTTTGGTATCTTTTCTACTGAATTAATCTATGAGAAGAGAACAAAAACTAAAATAGCCATTGTAAATTATGTTTCTGGAAAGAACAGTTTATCATATTTTGAAGGGCATTGTCAAGGCAAAATATGGGCAAGATGCATGCAATGTTGGAGATGAAGGAGGATTTGCTCCCAATGTACAAGATAATAGAGAGGGACTGGTTTTGCTCATTGATGCGATTGAAAAAGCTGGTTACACAGGCAAGGTAAGAATGTGGAATGCTGAAATCCTATTCTTTATTCATTTATCAAAAAAAAAAAAAATCCTATTCTTTATTCTTTGATCAGACATCTTGCCTGTAGTGTTTAAGAAATAACCTCAAAGTGGATTATGCAGATCAAAATAGGGATGGATGTTGCAGCTTCGGAGTTCTTCACCAAAGATGGGAAATACGATCTGAACTTTAAAAAGCAGCCAAATGATGGAGCTCATATACACACAGCTCAGAGCCTCTGTGAACTGTACAAAGAGTTTGTCAGAGAATTCCCCATTGTGTCCATAGAAGATCCCTTTGACCAAGATGATTGGAGCTCATGGGCTTCACTAGAGTCTTCGGTTAATATCCAACTTGTAGGAGATGACTTGTTGGTCACGAATCCAAAGAGAATTGCTGAAGCTATTCAGAAGAAGGCTTGCAATGCTTTGTTACTGAAGGCAAGTATCCAAGCGTTATCATCAAATACTTGATCTACTGAGCCATTCTGTTAATTTCCATTTTTTCATCTCTTTGTTGTATAAATACTTTCTTCCCTTGCTCTGCAGTTTGAAGGACAAGTTAACCTTTTATGCATGCTAAAGCCTGAAATTTTGTATCGGATTGAGACATCTTGGAAGAAAGAGGCCGTATCCCATGGTGTTTATTATTATTACTATTATTATTATTATTATTATTATTATTATTATTATTATTATTATTATTACTTTGAGATAAAGGGAGACTTTCATTAGGGGGGGTACACATTAGATGATGTACAGAAGGGCTATTTGCACTGTACAAAAGCTCCCTTCCCAACCCAGAATTAGCTAAAGAAGCAGCAAGCTGATTGAGAACTCTTGGAATCCACCTAAATCTAGTGTTCATAGATGCTGAAATGTCTGAAATCTCGTGGACAAAATGAGATAATTTCCAAGTCTCCTTCACCTTTGAGGTAACCCAACTAATGACAGTCCTGAAATCACCTTCAACCAGAATAGTCTATTTTGGAGAGCCTTATCCAGCTGAAGACCCTTAGAAGAGCTTTCACCTCAACTTCAGAAGCATCAGCAGCATTAACAGGGCTACTGAAAGCCCATTGCAGACTGCTGTTAGGACACAAAATGACTCCCCCAATACCAGCTGCCTGAGACTTTTCAGGATCCGTCCTTAAACTTCCATAGTTGTGTTTATTTTTATTCAAAAACTTGCATCTATCTACTATTCAGCTATTCTGTTTTTTTCCCGGTTTTTGATAGCAAAATATCTACCATTCATTTGCAATAGGCCATCCTTTGGATTGTCCAATACTCCAGTCTATGCTAAAGATCCAAGAAATCATGTTCTTTTGCCCTATGATGATTAATCATCCAAGGGATGTGATTAATTTGGAATCTAAGATCGCCAAATAGGTAATAGTTAGGGCAATCCAGCAAGAGGACATAATGTTCTGTGTAGATTGGTGATGCCTTGGATCTTGTATCTGGATTGGGGGGGGATCATTTCTGCAATGAATGATTGCAAATTAGACTGCCTTCTCAGGGAATATTACTAATGTGGATAAGAAGAAATAAGATTGTCCCTTCAACCTAAAACAAGGACTAGCCTGGCTTAGTTGAAGTACCAGTCACCCTTCAGATCAATCTAGTAATTCACCTTTAGACCATCATAAGGTGCCCCATAATGGTGGATAAGGATCCACTTCAACCTGCTATAAGAAAGATCAGGCAATTACTATGGGAATTTAGATATATGGATAAGGATCAAATCATCCAAACACAATTTCAATGATGGTTGGTTGAATAAGAATATATGGTCAACCAAACAGCAAAATCAAACTATTTTTTTGATGGTTGTAGTATAGCAACCCTGGCTTGTCTGGTATAGGTAGGAAGGCAACTTGAGCGGGCTTGAGTTAGGATTTTGTCAAAATTTGAATGGGCCCGGCCTGAAGGCAGGAACCTGAACAGTGTAAAATTCTAACTCTTAATGGCCATCTTTGCGAACCAACAAGAGTTGGGGATTCAACAAGGCCTTAATAAACGGCAATGCTACAAGGCCTAAGATTGGATAGACAGCTGGGTTTGAGAAATATAGTGGTGGAAGGGGATTCCAGGGTGGTTGTGGACTGGCTAAGAAATTAGCCAAGTTTCATGGCAGCATGGGTATGTCATGAGAGAAATAAACTTGCTGGTGAGAAGTGGAAACTAGCCATGATTGGGATCGGAGATCAGCCAATAGTTTGGCTGACATGTTGGCTTTGTCTAAGCAAGGTTTGAATGGGGAACAACTGTTTTGGGGAATTGCTTTGTATTGTAAGAAGGTAATAATAAGATGAGGTAAGGTAGCACTCTTGCTAGCTTAACAAAAAAGGGATGTGTATATTCTGATTTACTGATCACAAAACGGACAGTTACCAATAAAAAAAGATATACTGACCACGAAAGGAAAAAAAAAGATCAACCAAATTAGCTTGAATCCAGAATGAAAATTGGGTTTTGCATTTCTATATGGGTACAATCATGCAGTCAATCTAAATATCAGGATACAGCAGTCTTGAGAGAACCCAACCTGACTTCATCTGTGTATATCACAATGGTTGTGAAATATATCATGCATGCTTATATAAATGAAAACGACAAACATGCAGCTATAAATAATTCTCTCTAGTTTAAGTGCTTGATAAGATGATACATGAACTTTGTGGCCAGTTGTCAGTGTACCATCTGAACATGGGCACGTTTTCCAAACTGGAGTTTCCTTGTTATGTGTTGGTTTCTTACCAACCACTTCTCTCTGAATTACAGGTTGAATACTTTTAGATGGTTAGGATAACTAGAAGGGCTAGAGGGCTATTATTTCCAAGAGAATTAACCACTAAATATGATATAATGCATCTTATGGGATCTTTTATCCTAGTTGGTACCAAATAACGAATCCATATCCATACATTAATAATTTGAAATGTCAGCTGTATTATCAATGGCCATTTTTATTTCTTTGTACATGCTGTGTTGAGGAACCTGTTGTGCCTACTTTTTTCTTCAGGTTAATCAAATTGGGACAATCACAGAATCCATTCAAGCAGCTCTTGACTCAAAAGCTGCAGGCTGGGGTGTGATGGTCAGTCATAGGAGTGGTGAGACGGAGGATAACTTCATAGCAGATCTCTCTGTTGGCTTGGCGAGTGGACAGGTTTGTGGAATCCCCTTAAAAAAATTTGTGTAATGTTCATTTGTTTACATGTTTGAATTTATTTTTTATCCTTCCACCTTACAGATCAAAACAGGAGCTCCTTGCCGAAGCGAGCGGTTAGCCAAATACAATCAGGTAAGATGGCTTCTTTCTTTTTCTGGCTGCTCTTTTGGCTTCTTGAGAAAAAAATGTGAACCATCTCTTAAATCATTGAGGTTTACGAAACCTTGGAAATGAAACCTGCGTCTCTTCAAAGGATGTAATAGATGCATGACTTTTTTTTTTGGTCAAAACTGCCAAGACAACATCTGATATAATCAGGGGACATTGCAATTTACGTATTTTTTGTTAGTTGCATTTTATTGGTTTGTCAAGAAGAGGGACAGCAATTTATATAATACAAGCTTGTTCTTAGATGACTAGGATGGTTCTTTTATGTTGTGGTATGAGTAAATATAATATTGCTTAAATGATGGCGACTGAAATAATGATGTGAAGAATAGCCTTTTCTTATGTCATCATCATTACCAAACTCAACAGCTGTTTTGGTATAGACCAGTAGAATTATGCTTGCCTATCATAAGGGTTTCCACTTCCATTTGATCCCCCCCCAATTAAGTCTTTAATGGTACCAATATTCTTGAGTAAAATAAAGAATTTTCAGAATATTTTCATTGTTCTGTTTACCTTACTTAATATCACAATACTTACTATTTTTTTCTCAATCTCAATGCAGCTACTGCGTATTGAAGAGGAACTTGGAAATGTGCGTTATGCTGGAGAGTCTTTTAGATCTCCTTAGGAAATATTTTTGTTGGAAATTAAGTCCTGGATCAAATTCATCCAATGTTAGAAAATAAGAGCAGATCTGCCATGAATGGAGGATGGCAGATCATGTAGATTAAGGTTCAGCAAGAACTAGAGATGTTTCTTGGTAGGACCATTTGGTTTAGATGGTATTTCTAATGGATATCGGTATTTGGAGGGTTAGAAAGTGAGTTTTGCTTGCTGAAACAATTTATTATGTCACTGAATATAAAAAATTTTGGTTTGTTTCAATGTTTTTGGACTCTGTATCAAGTTGAAATTGATTCTTCACCATTTCTTTCTGGTCCCATTTATGTTTCAATCGGCTTCAATTGAAATTATCTTTGTCAAATCCAAGGAAAAGTTGAAATCTATTAATGCTCAGCAGTCCGCATGTGTTGTTATTCTGTTGCTGTGTTTTTTCCTTTCTTCCCTTTTCTGAGAGATCCCATTACTAATATCTAATTGTTGATTTTTTGTATAATACCCTACTTGGAGCTGCTTTTCAGCTTTGTAGTGCACTATTCTGTAACAAAGCCGAATTGAGTGAAGCAGAACATTACTTGACCATAGTATCACGACCATCTCTATTATTATTTTCCCCTATAGTTGTTATTTGAATTCTTTTACATGGAAGGCTTATTCGCATTGAACCCTGTTTGCAACATGGCCTTAAAATACAAACTCCAAACATGGCAGAGGTGCTTGATTACTCTGTAGTGATGAATTTTACCATGGAAAATATAGTAGACCTCTGAATTGTCATCCATATATCTATGCCCAAACAGTTGAGCTTTGACATTGGCATCAAGTCAACAATATTTTGTGCAGAGAAGTTTTTTATAGATTTATCAGTATCACCTCATTGAAATATTTTATGCCATGAAACCTGTATTATATAAACAAAAACAAAATACCAACATATGCATCTACACTTGTAAAAATAAAATACTAACATATGCATTTATAGTTGTGTTTAATCAGCACTCGGATCATTGGAGGGTCTGAGATACTATACACTGCACTTCACACTGACACACTATTAGACAATACAAAGTCCCAATGCCTCTTTAATACCATAATACACATGAACGGGAGGTTTGAAGAGGGCAGATATAATTTTCAAATTTACAGATTTTCAGATTTATACATGGGATGGAGGATTGTCAGCAGTCGACATGGAATGGAAGGTCTGATACTTGGCTGCAATAGTTAAAGGTTCCAAAGGAGATGCACTTATATCCTGCCAAGCTGATAATACCTATATAACTCAAACAATTTCCAGTTAACCTTATGCATCATCAATACAGTGATATGCATTTAATGTTGCATCTTTTTAGAATTGCACATAGCTCATTCCCATCTGCTTTGGATATGATGTGTATGCCTAAAATCATACGTTAGCAACAAACTTCCATCCATCCTCCTTAAAGCAAATCTTTCCACCAACATGTAACAGCCAAGCTTGTTCCACACACCGTCTCCTCTAAACTCTTCTACCTTCTCCACTCTTACATCTGTTTCCACCCCATCAACCCATCCTACTGTTTCTTGCAGCCATCTCATTTTGCCAACAATTGCTGAACTCAACCCTACACTCAGTCCTCTTTTGTTATGGTCAAGAAGTCTGAACCACATAACCTCATCTACTCCACATGTATCATCCTTCATGGCTTCCATGCCAAATATTATAGCAACTTCCTTTTGTACACTCACATTTACCTTCACAACATTGACTTCATTCTTATCATTGTCACATGTATAAATCTCTTCCCAAAACTGCTCAAGGGTCATCTGATAAAACATGGATTTTTTCATCTGAGCTTTCAGTTTCAGTTTTTCCCTTATGAACACAAAAGGGCAGTACCATTTTCCCACTACAACAGTCCCTGAGCGCTTACTAGACATTGGGAAATCAAATTCTGGGAGGCGCATGCGGAGGGAGATGTTGAGGCCTAGAGCTTCGCTTAATTGGCAATGATGGATGCTAGAGGCATAAGCCTCCCACCCTTTTCTCTTCAGGAAAAATGGCGGATAACCGTCTGGAGATGCAGACTTTGCGACGAAACCACCATCAGGTCCACGACGCCTATGGATTTCTACTTGCTGATAGATGTCTCTGTAATTCAAAATTCTTGGTTTCACATCCTTCTCGAAGTTGCAGAAACAACAGGTGTTGACATATGCTTCTCTTGAGCATCTACATGCTTGCCTGCAAATTCATTGGAAAACTCAGTTTGGAAACGGTTTCAGTTCAGCAGTCACTCCATCAATGATCAATGTGATCTGAAATTCTGAATTAGTACATCATTAAGGCCACTGTAAAACTACATTATTTTGATTGATCTGTGTGCTTGTCCCCCCAAAACGTTCTTACATTCTTCTCCACAAGTGACAAGCTTTCCCCAATTGAGAATGGTAAACCCATATCCATTGGTTGGAATCTCTATCTGATATTGTATGTCTTATGAAAACATATGGGCTACCCCTTTTGTAGCCCATGAAACCCCCCTCCCCCCCCAAAAAAAAGGAAATACGTTTCTAGTTTCATTTCTAAAAAAAAAAAATGAAAAGGGTAAGCCACAGTCTTCACAGATTACCACCCTGTACTTTGGGGGGTAGTGACACTTTGCCCCCTGAACTTTCATTTATAATAAACACCCACTCCCTAAACTTTTGTATTCCAACACTTTGCCCCTGCCTCGTTAACAATCTTGACTGTAAAGGTAAAATTATTAAAAATTGCCATTTGAAGTTCAATAAACTAAGAGGAGAAGATATCGAAATAACGAAAATAGGCATGTTAAAGTACGATATCTCTTGTATTTTTAGTTTTTTAATTTTTGCAATTTTTAGTGTTTTCCATTTTTTTTTCTGTTTTTCTCCTTTTCTTTGTTGTATTTTTCCTGAAATTTCTACTTTTTCTGTATTTTGTTGTATTTTCCTATTTTTCTTATTTTTTTTGTTGTACTTACTGTCATCAAGGTTTAAAGAATCGATACGTGTCAATCGATATGCATCGTTCCAGGACCCCACCGATACACCCCTACAGTGGGTGTATCGGAGGTCTTACCGGTTCAGGGGGTAGAGGAGACCTAAACTGGTTGCAAAAAAAAAAAAAAACAACCAAAATGTGTATCAACGTATCGGGCGTATTGATATTTTGAACCTTGTTTATCATATCTACAATTTCCTATTTTCTCATTTTTGTTGTACCTTACCAATTTTATGCAACATGATCCCGTAATGTGATATAAGGGCAATTTGGGGTTTTATAAATAATTATACTTGCACATGGTGGCACATGAGAATCTTTTCTGAAATTAACTAGGCCCCGCTTGTTTTACTTACTTAGGTAAGCATGTTTATCCGGGCAAGTGTTTTCAAAACAAAACTTGCTCCGAAATATGAAATTCCAGTATTCTTGTATTTTATGTGAGATCGAATCTACTCCTCACATCTGCGCCTCATTTGCACATCTTATTATACATTAAGAACATTTTCCATACTTTTAATTATTATTCACGGGAGATGTTCCCAATGCACAGTAAATATGCCTGTGAGGCACTCATTTGTAAGGAGCAGATTCTGTCACATTATAAGTTACTCATATAATTAGAGTGGTAGCAGGGAGAGATTGCTTTTTGGCATGCGGATAAATTATTCATCCACCTTGTAGGAGGGTATCAATTATTTGGATAACTGATGGTCTCTATATCCTTGATTACTAAAGAACCCAATATAGCGGCACACGAATTTAGATATTGTGGTCAATTTGCCAGTTTACCAACTTGCTAAATACTAACAAATGAGGCCTTGATGTAATACTAATGGCGGGGAATCTGAAAGTTCAGGGTGGGTATTTGTCTCAAATGAATTCTAGGGCCAAATGTCAGTGTGCACTGCCGCAAAAACAAGGTGGCGGTCCATAATTTACCCAAAGTAAAACATTACAATCAAAAAACTTTTTTTTTTTTTTTGGATAAGCTAAACGACTAATAAAACACTACAATAAAAAAATTTATGCTATGTTATGTTATGTGCTTTTATTTTAAGAAAATAATGAGGCTCATATGACAATCTATGATGTAGTTTTGTACAAACATTTCGTAAATTTCTCCTAGCCTTAAACACTGTTTGGACAATGATGAAAACTTCTACGGTCAGGCACAGAAATGCTAGTTAAGAAGTGTAAATCAGGCTGACACGGCTCACATGTGGCCTGTGTAAAGTGTGGTTGTCCCAGGCTATCCCTTTTTCCCTGGGATAATTGGGGGGTTGGTTTGGCATGGCCTACGGCCTGAGTCCATATGGGCCATGAATAGGCCGAACTATGGATCAAACCAAGTTATGAAAGATCTATTTAAAAAAATTGAAAAAAATAGTTAAATTTTTATTTTATATTAATTTTGATATATACAATTAATATAAAGATGAGGACCCAACTCCCAACTGTTGGCTGGGCCCGGCCCAAGAGAGAGGACCCACACAAAAAATTTATCAGTATTCAGATGTCTTAGAACCTTTTCCGGTTAGAATTTTATTAAGACTTAAGAATTCTCAACCGGACTGGGTTTCTGGGTCCCTACTCCCTAGGCGAAAATTATCCATCAAACTCTTGATACTTCAGTGAGTGATGTGTGATGAGGTAAGGAGAGATATACCCTTTGTGCTTGCCTTTTGCTCTAATAACATAGTAACGGTTGGAAGACAAGGGCTGGTCAAGAACCGGAACGAACCAGAGCTTATGACGATCAACTGACGACGACCCATGGTCTTCACTTCCCGATGAATGATGAACAATGGTCAGTATCTTGTTCTGAGGAAATGGGAGCTCTCTAACCTGCTTGTTCTTGTACATACCCCAACAACACCTATCTTGAGCTTCTGATTCTTCATCTGTGATTACGAGATAGCCTGAATAAGGAGCCTCCGGCGTAGGTACTGACAGAGCGCTGGGTTGCATTCTGTACATCGAAAGAGGCCTTGCCACATACATCTTTCCTTTTCTCTACTTTGTTCATCTCTCTACGTCTCTTAAGTAGCCACTTCTGAATTCTGATGGGTCACATAACTTCTGATATTATATTAATGCAGTGTTGCCTTTGGTTGATTACTTGATTTGGAGAATGGTGGGTAGGGCCCATCTCAACACCATCTAATGTCTGTTTCTAATAATTGTATTTTATTACTCGATAAAGGTTCCTTAGTAATGAAGAAATAAGAGGTGGGTGTCGTCATTAGGCTCCACTGTGAGCAGCCGGCCTGAAATGATCTGATTTTATAGTTGGATTTGGATCTTCATAACTCAATAAAATATATGTTGATTCATAGAAAACCCGGAGAAGTACACTGGATATTGTGGGAAACTATCTTGTTGGGGGTTGATTTCAATTTGTATATTGCAGGTTGCAATTCAATGTAGAATTTTAAAATTACAGCCCCCAGTGTACAAGTAGCCCCCCTATAAACCGCTTCCTATCTAAGAATTTGACATCAATCCACAGTCAGGATTAAAATTCTGAGATAGGCTGAACAGTCATTCTCCCTAGAAAGCCAAAAGAGTATGTATAGGCAATTATACAGCTACCTTATTCGTTCATTCAGGCTTGTTAATTCAAGATATACAATGAATGAATTATTTATTATTGCAAATACAACACAACAAAAAACATCCAATCTCATATTCTATTTTATCAACAGCACAACTGAACAAGCAATAAACAAAAGAATGAAAGATGAAAATCAGGAAGGTGATGCTCGTTCTCGCTTCCTTTTAATTCTATGTGTGTGCTAATCATCCAATATATACTTTTTTTTTTCAGTAAAAATCTCTTCACCAACACATAACAAGTTAACATCCATACTTGCTGCATCCACTCTTCTCTCCTCCAAACTCCTCTACCCTCTTAACCCTTACTGGTAGTTCCCTCTCTGCTGGTCTATACCCTGCTCTTTCTTGGTCCCATTTGGTTCTCTCCAGTCTCCACCATTGCCAAACTCAACCTGACGCTTGCTTCTCCTTCTACCCTATTAAGAGAATCTAAAACACATCCCTCCATCTCCATGATCAATAACAGCTCTGTCGGTGTCATGTATTTTTGAAGAAACTGGAGCTTTACAACTTTGAGTATTCTATGGGCTCATTTTGTCTTGGGTTGCTTAGCTAAAGCAGCTTAGGTGTGCCTCTTACCCTTACATCTATTTTGGGTTGGTTATTGGCCCATCTTTCGAGATAAAGCATCCACTTTGAATTCTTATCAGGAAAGCCTGAATCGGCTTTAGTTGAAGTCGGCTTGGATTTCCCAGTAGCAGCAACTAGAGAGATTCCTACGCCAGTAGTTTATCCAATTTCCTTCATTGACCTCCAATACCCTACAAATCATCTGTTCATAGGACACAAAAAGAAATGCATATAAATATACATACCACACAGCCATACAGGTACAAATGTCTCATTCCTAGTGTTTAGATACAAAGTCAACTCATATGCTACTTCATTCAATAGAACAAATAAGAACAGGGTTGCTGTGTTCAATCCCATTTGCTCTGAATCTGATGGGTATGCCTAAACTCATAACTTAGAAGAATGCTTCCATCCATTCTTTTGAAAACAAATCTTTCTACCAACACATAACAGCCAAACTTCCTCCATCTACTCTTCTCCCCACCAAACTCCTCTACCCTCTCAACCCTCACCTGCCTGTCTTTTCCACCATTCCAACCCACTCTTTCTTGCTCCCATCTCATTCTCTCCGCAACTACTAAACTCAAACCCACACTCAATTCTCCTTCTGGACTTTCAGGAGCTCTGAACCATATCACTCCATCAACAACGTTGGTGTCATTCTGTGCCACCACCGTGCCAGAGATCAAAACCACTTCCTTCTGAACGTATACATCGATAGCCACTGTATTGCTTTCACTAAGAGTATTCTCACAAGCATAAATCTGTTCCCACTGTTGTTCAAGTGTTACCTCGTAAAACATTGATCTCTTCATTTGATCTTTCAGATTATCTCCTTCTTTTATGAACATGAAAGGACTATACCACTTCCCCACAACCACAGTCCTAGAAATCTTAGTCTCTGGTGTGAAGTCCAAATCTGGAAGATGCGCTCGAAGAGATGCATCAAGGCCTTGAGCTTCACCTAACTGGTAATGCTTTGGAGTTGAGGCATAAATCTCCCACCCTTTTCTCCTCAGGAATTGTGGAGGAATCCCATCTGGAGCTACAGGTTTGGCAGTAAAACCACCTCTACTGGGGCCACAGAAACCCTGCCAAGGTTTAATCTCGAATTGTTGGTATATGTCTTGATGATCCAAAGCTTTTGGTTTTACATCACTAACGCACCTACAGAAACAACAAGTTGCCATGTCCTCTTGTGTTGAACTTCTGTATGCTTCCCTGCAAATTCAATTGGATGTTTGAAACAAAATTAGGCAACCATTATCAAAAAAAGAAAAAGGAAAAAATAGCATATCGAACAGTTAATTTTTGATTTATCTTCATCTTTGTCCATTATAAAAGCAACTGTCTTCTAACATATAAATAGCCCCCAAAATTCTATGGCTTTTCTCTAAATCTGAATTGTGAATTTTCTTCTAAACTAATCAGCTGCAAATATACTTAAAAGCACTGGAATCCGAAGCATTGATGTGAGTAGGGAAATGGTGTCACAATCAGCCAAGGCAATGGGTGATGGAGTTTGGAAAGACAAACATTAGCTATTCATAAATAACTGAAGCACAAATAAAAAAAAGAGAAAAAAAAAGCAGTACTGGTCCAAGATGAACAAATTTAAATCCTTTAGAACCCTAAAAAGGAAGATATAATTATATAACAAGTAGTAAGGGATAAAAGGCCAAACCCTTTGTGCCTCCGGTGTGCTTTTATGACATAGTATAGATTTGAAGACAGCGGCTGGTTAAGAACTGGGATGAAGTAGGCATCATCATGGCTCTCCCACCTGTTCTCCCCAGCCCCTGTTCCATATCGGACTGTAAGCATCTTGTTCTGAGGGAATGGCAGATCTCGAAATTTGTAGTCCTTACACAATCCGAAACAACATGTATCCACAGACTCCTCATCTTGAATAACAATGTAACCCGAATTGGGTCCTTCAGGTGGAGGCAGAGAGAGGGAACTGGGAGTCTGTCTGTATAGTGAAAGAGGCCTTGTCACATACATTATGTCTTCAATCCAGTGATCTCCTTCTAACCTTTTCGGAATTGTCTCAAGGGAGTACTTAGCATATATAAGGAGAAGTAGAGGATAAGGCAAGCTGATCAAGTGAATGATAGCAAATTTGACAAGTAACCCATTAGCTCCTAGCCAATCTGTATCTTTCTGGATAAGAAAGTCTAATTGCATATCAAGCTCCCAACCTAATAATGCTTGTTGAAGTTTCCAGGAGGTTTCCTTGAAAGAACGGGATAAGGGTTGTGGGAAGTGTCAACGCTCAACAACGTGAATGAGTCATTGAGAATGAAGGAAGCAGACGTCATTCATTGTAACAGCCCCTGCTCTGCGGCTTTGGTCCTTAATTGAGTCATTGAGCACGGACTTTATTGGACGAAGATAAGGCTTTCATTGCTTTCACCCCGGATTTGAAGCCTCATCCTCATCCTCATCCCGGATTTGTATATTTCATGGTATCAGAGCCAGCATTACTGTTCGCTGCGCGACCGATGGTTATCGGCTGCAGATCTTGTTCCGACCACAACCTATTATCGACGACTCTGAGTCCCAGTTCCTGGAGGAGCTCCATCCGAAGCATTTATCTTCCCCCTCGCTTTTTGTATCGACTGTCTCACCTCCGTCGACACCTTGTCCAGCGCCGCAGGCTCTGTTCCCTCGTCGAGTTTCCTCGCGTTCACCACCGTCGCCGGTTTCTTATTCGAGCTCGCGTCGAACTTCTTCACCGTCTAAACCGCTGCCCTGGAACGCAAGGCCTGGTTCACGGCTTTGGGATCTCGGAGGGCCTGGGCATTGGACTTGGATTTGTGCAGGACGACTGGTTCCCAGTCCTGAGTAAGGGCTCCAGGAAATCTGCTCGGCATCCTTGAGTCGATGGATAAAGAAAAGACGACGATTTCTGATACCAACACTAAAGTGCGAGTAAGGCAGGGGAGTGCTCTGTTATTTATTTCGTTTTTTTAGACTCTCCATAGAGTAGGCTTCTTCCCATCTTCTTGGTTTTCGTTCTCTGCTACTTCGCTGATTGGCTCTGATGGCTTCTTCCCATCTTCTTGGTTTTCGTTCTCTGCCTGCTTCGCTGATTGACTCTGACATCTTCTGTGGTTTTTCTTCGTTTGTTTTAAGTCGCTCGAACTCCCGCTGCCATTTTTTCATAGTTTGTTCAGGTAGTCTATTGTGTTCGCTCGAACTCCCGCTGCCATCGTAAGGAAGCTTCTCGGTCCTTCCGCTTCGACGACACCTGGTTTTCGCTCGGCGTTGCGGGATCGGAGGAAACCAGGCAGGAGCTCGGGTTTGACTCGGAATCGGCGGGCTCACTTGTTCTGATTTCTTCGTGAGTCTTATTAGGATCGTCCATCTACGTGTTTCTTGGAATAATCAAGCAGCTCGGATGAATCTTGTTGATCGATTACCATGGCTGCCAACAATGAAAGGAACTGTGAGAGCTCAAATAAGTCTGAATGGTGGGGAGACGTCAACCGGGCATGGAGCTAGTCGAGGAAAAGGGGGTGGACCCTCTGGCGGACGCGACCGAGATTTAACAAAAACTCATGCTGCTCAGCATCGGCAGGGCATGAGGTGGCTGCTAATGCAGCCGTAACTGACGGAGACGTGACCGGACTGAACGACCTTAATGACGAGCAATGACAAACTCTTGTAAGCATGCTTGATGCTTACAAAACCAGGACTAATGAAAAACTCTCTGGTAAGACTTACTCCACTGAATGGATTGTTGACTCTGGGGCGTCACATCACATGATAGGGAATTTAAATGTGCTCGTCGACACCTATGATGTTGCTCATTGTCTTGTTAGGTTACCCAACGGTGCGCACACTGAGGCCGTGAAAGAAGGCACCGTTGAACTTGGAAATAATTTTAAATTGCTGCACGTATTATATGTCCCAAAACTCAATTGGAATTTATTGTCAGTAGGTCAGTTACTTCGTGACACAGATTATATTGTGACGTTTACTAATAAGTTGTGTGTGATACATGACCGCATCTCGAGGACTCTGATTGGTGTAGGTGAACAGCTTGATGGGGTCTATGTCTTCAAGGGTGTGGCGTCGGTTTGAGCTTACAAGACAGATGGAATTGGGGCATACGATTTGTGGCATCGGAGATTGGGACACCCTTCTTATCAAACACTTAGCTTACTTCTTAATCTCAGTAATAGTAAGAACAAAACCTGTGATGTTTGTTTGAAGGCAAAACAAACTAGATATGTTTTTATTCAAAGCAGCAATAAGGTGACTGATTGTTTTGCATTAATTCATTGTGACCTATGGGGTGCTCATAAAGTACCTGCATTTTGTGGTGCGGTATATTTTCTGACAATTGTTGATGATTATTCTCGAGCAATTTGGATTTATTTGCTGGCTGAAAAAAGTGAAGTTGGTAAAACATTCAAAAATTTATGTGTCATGATTGAACGGCAATTTAATAAGAAGGTTAAGGTGGTAAGAAGTGATAATGGAACATAGTTTAAATCCTTGAAGTCATATTTTGACGAGCAAGGAATTTTATTTCAAACTTCCTGCGTTGGGACACCACAACAAAATGGTCGTGTGGAGAGAAAGCATCGTTATATTTTGAATGTAGCCAGAGCACTCAGGTTTCAAGCACATATTCTGATCAAATTCTGGGGTGAGTGTGTTTTGACTGCAGGATACTTGATTAACCGGACACCTTTGACCATTTTTGGTGGTAAAACACCTTACGAGATGCTATTTGGACAAAGTCCTTCTTACAAACATCTCAGAGTTTTTGGTTGCTTATGTTTCTCGCATACTAGGGACCGTGACAAGTTTGCCGCTAGGAGTAGGAAATGTGTCTTTGTTGGGTACCCTTTCGGGAAAAAGGGGTGGAAATTGTACAACCTTGAGTCTGGTGATTACTTCGTCTCACGAGATGTGGTGTTTAGTGAGGCCGAGTTTCCCTTTGCCACTCTGGAACATCAACCCTCTGTAACCAGTCCTCCCGTAGCCAAAGAAAATATTGGGTTGCCTTGGGCCACTCCTCCTGATATGGTATCTGAGTCACCTTATATAGAAGTCAGGGGGAGCGACACGATCGATGAAGAAGAACATCCGAACACGAGAAATGATTAGGAGGCAGGTCCCCTTGATGAGACAAGGAGCCATACAGATTACAGAGATAATGAAACTCCAGCTGCTCCTCAGCCCACCACGGAGGTATTAGGCCGCAAACATCAAGAAAAGCGGACCCCCGGCTATTTACAGGACTTTGTCACACACTCAGCTCGTCGCTTAGACCCCTCCGTTGTTTCTCCTGCATCATCTCAGTCCTCAAGTACTCCTTATCCCATAACTCATTATATGATGTATGATAATTTTTTTTTTGTGAAACACAGACATTTCTTGGCAGCTGTTACTGCAGGCCGAGAACCTACTTGTTTCTCTGAGGCAATGACTGATGCTCGGTGGCGCGAGGCTATGCGCCAAGAGATACAGGCTTTGGAAGACAATGGGACATGGACCTTGGAAGACCTCCCACCTGGAGAAAAGACAATTGGGTGTAAATGAGTATACAAAATCAAGTACAACTCTGATGGATCCATTTAAAGATTTAAAGCACGGTTGATAGCCCTGGGCAACACTCAAGTTGAAGGTCTTGATTACAACGAGACCTTTGCCCCTGTGGCTAAAATGGTCACAGTTCGAACCTTCTTAGCAGTTGCTGCAGCCCAACATTGGGAATTGCATCAGATGGATGTCCACAATGCTTTTCTGCACGGTGATCTCCATGAGGAGGTCTATATGAAACCTCCTCCAGGTTTTTCGGCCTCCGAAACTGGAAAGGTATGCAAACTCCGGAAATTGTTGTATGGTCTGCGGCAAGCCCCCCGGAACTGGTTCTCTAAGTTAGGTGCTGCCTTGAAACTTTTGGTTTTGAATAGTCATATTTCGATTATTCCTTATTTACATATCACAAGAATGGGGTTGTCTTGCACGTCCTGGTTTATGTTGATGACTTAATCGTTGGTGGGAATAACTCGGAGTTCATACGCAAATTTAAACAGTATATGAACCGGTGTTTTCGCATGAAGGACTTGGGTATTCTTAAATATTTTTTGGGCATCGAAGTGACTCACGGATCATCGGGGGTATTTCTTTGCCAAAGAAAATATGCACTTGATATTATTACAGAAGCTGGCTTATTGGGATCCAAACCTGCTCACCTTCCTATTACTTAGAATCATAAACTTGCCCTTGCTAACAGAGCACTCCTGGATGACCCTGAACGATATCGACGTCTTATGGGCTGTTTGATTTATTTAACCATTACACGGCCAGAGCTCAGTTATTGCATTCATGTCCTGGCTCAATTTATGCAGTGTCCTCGTGTTGATCATTGGGATGCGGCATTACGTGTGGTTCATTATCTGAAAGGACGTCCTGGTCAAGGAATATTTTTGCGCTCTGATAGTGATATGCAATTGTATGCCTATTGTGATTCCGGCTGGGCGAGTTGTCCTCTAACTCATCGCTCTCTTACTGGGTATTTTGTCATGTTCGGACATTCCCCTATCTCCTGGAAGACTAAGAAACAACATATTGTCTCCTGTTCCTCTGCCGAGGCTGAATGCCGGTCAATGGCTACTGCCAGTTGTGAGTTGAAGTGGCTAAAAGGTCTCCTGTTGTCTTTGGGTATATCTCATCCTCAACCTATATGCTTGTTTTGTGACAATCAAGCTGCTCTACACATTGCTGCAAACTCTGTCTTCCATGAGCGAACCAAACATATTGAAGTTGATTGTCATTTCATTCGCAATGAGCTGCAAGCCGACACCATTGCGCCTTCCTATGTCCGTACCGGTGAACAAGTTGCCGACATTTTCACAAAGGTTCTCGGACAAAAACAATTTGATTTTTTCCTTCCCAAGCTGGGCATTCACAATCCTCATGCACCACCTTGAGGGGGAGTATTGGACGAAGATAAGGCTTTCATCGCTTTCATCCCGGATTTGAAGACTCATCCTCATCCTCATCCCGGATTTATATATTCCCTGTACAGTTAGGATTTAGAAGTTTTAGAAAGCTTTGTATTTCCTTTTTAGATTAGGAAAGACAGGATCGAATTTGTATATATATATATATCATAAGATATCAATGAAAAGTGAGGATCAAAGGCTTCCGAAAATTTTCAGACTTGGTCAATTTCTTAAGTCATCTGCACTTTGTGGTTTCGATTAATTTATTTAGTCAATTTAAGGTTGTCTAGTTAGTGCTGATTCATGATCCTTTGAAATTTAGAAGGCATTCCCCAGGAAACGTTTCTGAAACAGAAACAGAAAAACGGCAATTTTCGGCTCACTAGAACACAAGAAACGTTCTAAAGGAGTGCTATCAAACGCCACCTTATGGGCTGAAGGAAATCTAACTGTAAAATGCATGGTAAACTGAAAATCAGAACACTAGTCTCATTTTTATTCATTTTATGCACCGATACTACTATTCCAATGGAGTCAAAGCTAGAGCTCGTTCCCATTTGGATTGAATCTGATGGGTATGCCTGAACTCATAAGTGAGCAACAAGCTTCCATCCAATCTTTTCAATACAAATCTCTCGACCAGAATATAACAATCAAACTTGCTCCATCCACCATTCTCCCCTCCAAACTCCTCTACCCTCTCAACCCTCACCTGTCTGTTACTCCCACTAGTCCACCCTACTCTTTCTTGCTACCATTTCATTCTTTCCATGATTGACAAACTCAGCCCAACACTCTCTTCTCCTTCTACAGTTCTAAACCACATTACCCCATCAACAACATCTGTGTCATGCTGCGCAGGTTCCTTGCCCCAGATCAATGCCAATTCACTTTCAACAAACACGTCCACAACCACACTATTGCTCTGGCCAAGATTATTCTCGCATGTGTAGATCTGTTCCCACTGCTGCTCGAGTGTCATCTCGTAAAATATTGATCGCTTCATCTGGTCTTTTAGTCTTCCTTCTTCCTTTACAAACATGAAAGGGCAATACCACTTCCCTGTGACCACCGTCCCAGGGCTCTTCTCAGATAGTGGAAAGTCGAATTCTGGTAGGCGTTGCTGAAGAGAAAAATCAAGTCCCTGGGCCTCTCCTAGTCTGTAGTGCCTTGGGGTTGAGGCAGTAACCTGCCACCCTTCTGTTCTTAAGAACTCTGGAGGAGATGCTTCAGGCATAACAGACTTGGCAACAAAGCCGCTACTTCCCCTGCAGCATGAAGTGTCCAAACGAATGATTTCAACCTGTCGATACATCATATCTTGGTGATCAAAAGCTCTTGGTTTAATGAAGCTGCAAAAACAACTACCCATGTCCTCTTTCCTTGAACTGGTGCGTGATTCCCTACATATTCAATCGAAACACAGTGAAAATTAAAACAACTCATGCAGCAATGTTGAAATAGTTGCTGTTTTAATGGAATAACGCGTACCCTTTTTGTTTTCCATGAGCTTTTATGACATAGTAACGATGGGAAGACAGCGGCTGATTCGGAACTGGAATGAAGTAGGCCTCCTCTTCAGTGGTCGAGACGCTAAGGATTTTGTCTTGGGGGAATGGTAGATCTCTAATGACAGGGTCTCTGTACAGCCCAAAGCAGTAGGTATCAACTGAGTCTTCATCTTGAATTACGAGATAACCTGAATTCGGACCTTCAGGTGGAGGTAATAAGAGGATGTTGGGGAATTGCCTGTACAGTGAGAGAGGCCTTGTCACATACATTTTGTATCTCAAACACCTCTCCTCTCTCTCTCTCTCTCCCCCCACCTCGCCCTTGTTATTATTTGTTGTCTCAACACTGTAAGATCAATCCTTGACACCATTCTATCTTTATACATGAAGAAAGAGGTAATTAGTTTGACAAGAATCAAGAAGAAAGCATTACCGTGCACATTTGGAGGATGCAATTCTTGCGTGTTGCATATTCAAATTCTAATTCTGAACTGCTTTTGGATAGGTTGATAAGAAAATCTCATTTCAAAACATATCCTTACAATCTTTCAGATACAAATTTCAGGAGTTAGGTGGGAAATGAAAGGGTGTTCTAGAACTAGCTCCCTCAGACAAGAATAAGAAGCTGGGAAATTGACTGCTTGCTTGGCCACTCTCGGAAGTGTCTCAACGTCGGTCAGTCACATGTCACCTGACGTATCCTCGTAGATATCTGCGTCTGATGGCCACAATGCTGGTTGAATGATTTCACCCTTTGAATAGTTGAATACGATCAATGCTATGAAACCCATGAACAAGGCCAACCA